AAAAAACTGCTTTTGTGAATAGATTCCCAAATATTTTTTTCCTGAACGTGTATTTCTACAACAAAACTTGGAATCTGTAATTCAATTTATCATCTAAAATTCAACAGACTTTTAATTACAATTGCATTACATTTGCTATAGTGTTGATGTTTGCATTGTCTATCTCAAGTTGTTTTTTGGGGGCGGGGGGGGGAGAATATTCAATCATTTAAAATAGTTTAACCAAAACCACAGTGTAATGCATGGGTGTGGAAGGTGTCATTACACAGTTTAAACATTAGGTGGCCCTGTACTTGATGGAGAAAGAAATATCCTATGGGGATTACAGTAAAAGAGAGCCCATAAAATTCTTTTTTTATTATTATTGAAAATTTTTGAAAACAAAAAACTTTTACAAATATTTACCTCCCCTCCCCCACCCTCCCCACCCAAACCCCTCCAANAGCTTCATCCATCACTGGAAGCTTTTAAGAAAAAAACTGGACTGCCATCTGCCAGAAATGGTGTAGGGTCTCCTGTTTGAGCGGAGGGTTGGACTAGATGACCTACAAGGTCCCTCCCAACTCCGTTAGTCTGTTCTGTCTTTCTTGATACAAGAGCTAACACATACTTCTTCCCTTTTGTGACATGTGTGTAGCTGGGCATAGTACACACCGAAGGTGGGTTTGTGGAAGGCGTCAACAAAAAACTGGGCCTTTTTGGAGATTATATGGATACCTTCAAAGGAATCCCTTTTGCTGCCCCCACCAAGACTTTGGAAGACCCCCAGCCTCACCCTGGCTGGCCAGGTAGGATGGCAAAGGCTCCTTACATTGAATTAACTTCTGCTTTTAACCGATAACAATCGCACTAGAGGAAGTCACTTGGACGCCTTGAATAAAAAGACTGAAATTTCTTTCTTGACCTAAACAGTTTGGGCGTCTCTTCCGTTTTGATGAATGTCAGCATGTGTCAGGGTTCCAAATAGAATCCAAAATTAAATCAGAATCTGAAGGTCTTCCCGGTTCCCCCCCCACCCAGTTGAAAGTTCAAAAACTTGCTCCCACACACCCACGAGTCCATCATGGGGTCCAATCTCCCACTGCCACACTGGCAGCTTCCACCCATCCACATCCAGTCAGGTGCAGAGACAAAGGATGACCTTGGCTCTCTAGAAAGAACGTTGTTGTGGCTACATATCATCTAACTCCACATAATCCCCCCCTCCCATTTTCCCACAATAGAAAATGCACGGTGGAATAATAGAAAGTGTGGCAGGCCAACGATTCAAAAGAAAAGATGGCGGCTGGGCGATTTAGCATCCTTTATCCAGGTTTGGTTTAATTGTGGAGGGGAGGAGTGATAGCAGAGGACAGGAAGGCCTGGAGGAACGTTGTCCATGGGGTCACGATGGGTTGGACAAGACTTCACAACTAACAACAACAAAAAGTGAGCTTCCAGGGTTGGTAAATTTGGGGAACAAGGCGGAAAAAGAAACACACATTTGCATCTCATTTCAAGGCATCCTTCTGTCAGGCCTACAATTATATTCCTTTTAGAATTTTGACCTGCCACACTTTCTCTTATTTCATTATGCTGTTTCATTAGTATAGTGGATGGGAGGGGGGAATAGAAGGAGTAGGA